AACACACCATGATGTCACCCCTCCGACGAAGCCTTTGTTCATATGATAGACAACCCCATTCAGCCTGTTTGTGTATATGTGTGTGTGTCCTGGTGTGTGTGTGTGTTGAAGTCAGTTTAGATGGAGAATAAAGGAGCAGAATCACCAGGCAGTCACAAAACACTAGATCCGTCTGCAGTTTTATTTCCGTTAAGTTCATAAATGCAGTTTTTTTCTTTGGCTTTGTATTCATTTAAAGTCACATATTCATCAATAGCACCACTACGTAGACAACGTCACACTGGTTGCTGCTGTAAAAGGAAGTTTCCAGACTTTTTTCTTACTCACTTCAACATTTCATTCTCATTTTCGTCTCATTTTACAGATTATTATCATGTGTGATGTTTACTTATTTACCTCAGTACAACTGCCAGCATTACTTTCATTGCCTTATTTCTCACTGGCTCATTTTATTTCAGCATTATATGATACTTAAATCTTATTGTTTCTACTTCATAAGCACTGCATTTCCTATTGTTGTGTTATTTAGTTTTTCTCTGAGCAATCTTCTCCTCTCCTCTATCACCATTACAGCATCCGTTCTTAACAGCAAATACAAAACAGGGAAACGAAGGATCTCTTTGCACGTGATTTGCAAAAATTCAAATCTCGCTACAGCCCTAAGAAGCATCTCTTTCTGTAAAGGGCTCAGCTGGCTGATGCAGCGTTCATGGGATGAGAAGCATCACACTCGGCTCATGTGTCTTCAGGCTCTGGCGACTGTCGGATGAGTGAATTTAGTGCTCGTCTCTTCAAAGAGGGATGAAACATGTTTCCCAAAGGGCAGCTCTGTGACAGGAGCCAAGTGGACTCCCTCATCCTCTCCACTGAGGAGGATGAATTGTTTAAAGAGTGTTAAAGTGAGCCTCTCTCTCTCTTCTCTCCTCTTGTGTCCAGCTGGGATGACAGCAGCTCTGTGAGCAGCGGCATCAGCGACAACATCGACACAGATGACATCAACACCAGCTCCTCCATCTCCTCCTACGCCAACACGCCGGCAGCACAGCGCAAAGGCCTCAACGCGCAGGTACAACGCCACACACTCACGTCAATATTTTTTAATAATTGCTAGGAAAAAAAGCATGTTTTCCTTCCATTGCTTTCCATTTTTACTCACTGTGGGATCATTTTTCACTGCAATATAAAGTCCTGCACCTCTGTGGAAACAGCACAGCCAACAATTTGAAAAACTTGGAATCAGCATGTGCAATATTTTTACAAGTGCACACTGATTTTACTAATCCTGGGAGAAAAATGGTGGCTACATATACTGTAGATGTTTTCCTACTTTTAATTTGTTTCCACACTTGTCTCTTATCTGCTCTCTGTCAACACAGCCTGCAGTTCAGCCCAGTAAAGCCAAAAAGTTGCTGAATTTTCATTACTTGGCTGTTGGTCACAGCAGAGTGATTAATAGCTTCATGGTTGCAACAAGGAATGCAGAATTTTTTGTTTTTTATGGAATCTTTTTAGTGGAAAGGATTTATTTTTTGCATTTTGTCTAATAAGACATGGAATAAGGTGATTTTGGCTTTAAGCTTAGATTTGTTTCTGAGAGAACAAGACGTCACAGATGAGTCTCTTTCTGTTTTTATAGTTTCTGGGTCTTATTAATGGTGTAATTTAAATGGTTTTTTAAAGATAACATGGCATGCTTTGGGGATCAGCAGTCCCAAGGTGTACGTTAAGTAAAATAAATAATCAGATATTTCAACGTCCAATTCATTTTTTATTAAAAAGTGCCACATATAAAACAAAAGCGTCGCAATCCAAACACCAAAAACAAAATGTGTACTTGACAAAACTAAATTTTTATTACCAGTTTTAAATGCGACTCTTAGTAAAACTCATTCTTTAGCCTGGTGTTCAGATCTCCATGTTGTAAGGGCAAACACAGTGATGCTTTGTGCTTTATCGTTATTTTATGATTAGCCGTGCCAAGTTGGATATTAGGTCTCAGTGCTGCTGTTTTTAGACACTGACATAGACGACTGGATTTTTCTTCCAGCAAATTAAACCTCAAAAATGTTGAGTTATAAACATCGCTGGCATTATTTAAAAGCATCATTTATTGCCTGTTTACAGCGTTCTGGATAAAAATTAAGACACAAGTTCAGGAGTTTTTATTGAGAGTATGTTTTAGAAAACACTGACATCAGTCCAACATGTTCTAATGCAACGAAACAAAGCGTCCACCTGCTTTCTGAAGATGCAAACAAAGCAGTGTCCTTATTGTCAGTTGCTTAGCGACAGTGTCATCACAAAACAACGCACAACAATCGCACTCTAAACTTAGATTAGAAGTTATACCTGCGTGGCAGAAACACTGGGACAATATTTTTATTTTTAGATATATTTGAATGCAGTAGTAATTCTTTTTCAAACTGGGTCCGCCCCAGCATTCCTGCGCGTTCAGAGAAGACGGTGAAGAATGTCGGACTGCCTCCGGGTGGCACAGCTCTGAACTCACAAAGCCAAAGTTGATGTTGACACTGGCCTCAAATCATTAAACACTGATTAAGAGCCACGAAGCTGATCGGGGAGACGATAACGTTGTCAGCTGACTCACATGTTGTGTCTGACGTGGAGTCATGTGACGTCTGTCCGTTATTGCTGCAGAAAAAAAAACACAAAGGCGTCTTTCTGTGTCTGCAGCCGGCTGACAGAGAGCAGATTAATAATGTCTGCCTCATCTGTCCTCTGGCAGCTACACGTCGGCCGGACTGTGTTTTTAAGGCCTGCGAGCAGAAAAGCTTTGCTGCATTTTTCGAGTGTTGCCTGGACGACTGCAGGAGTTAAAAGCAGGCGTCAGGCCTCCAACAGCTGTAATTTACTGTGTTGGTTAAATGAAGGCTATCGTGAACTACCTACATTACACCATCATTTTGAACAGTTAAAGTCTACATTCCAGGTGCAGCACTAAATACCTTCAGTGTTTTCAGTTTGGTTGGAAAAGGGACTTTTGTTGTCTGTGCGCTTCTGCAGTGGCAACTTGTTCTGAGATTGGAAAGAAAAATGTAAAAAAAAAACTGACTTGATGTAGTTCAAGAACAAGTAACTATTAAATAACACAGCGTTAGACAGGCATGCATAAACATACGGCTTTAGTATTTGTCCTTTTTGCTTTGTTTTTATATCATCAACATGAAAAGACTCTTACCACGACTCTAAAAGGGATTTTTTTTCAAATGAGGTTCTTCTGAGGAACTCATTAACATTTCAAACTTTACCATGTAGAGATATGAAAGACCTACATCTTGTTATTTCTTTATGAAGACTTCAAACGTTTTCTAACAGACTTTACTTCAGGTCCTTTTCTTCTCTGTTTATTTATTAAACTCCTTAAAACTCATATCTAAGCAGTTACATATTTAGAAGTTAGTTGTTTCCCCCCCCTGAATTAGGAACCAGTTCCAAAGAAGAACTTGGGTTTGTTTTGTACCCAAATGTCTGAATCTTATTTTGAAACTGTGATCATTGGAGCGCAGTTATAGAGGTAGAGGGTAGAAATGTTCAATCATTGTGCTGACTGCTTGTTTTACTCACGACATGCCATCTAGCATATAAAAAAAACACCATATGGGTGCGTTAACAAGGGAAAAACTTGTCTTTAAAACCATCTAAGCTACTCAGCAAACCAAAACCAGTAAAAATATATCTCTCATATTTCCAAAAACAGTTAAACAGTTTCCTGACAAGCTGCCCAGGTGATGATGCTGCTGGTGGGATTAACCAGCATGATGGCTGTGGTCATAAACCGGAGTGCTCTTCAGAGCCACTTGGCGACGTCTCATAAAAGACGCCTCCTTCAGCAGCAGTAAATCTGACCTGCCGTGTTTGTGTGTGTTCAGCCTGTGACGGACGCGGAGAAGCACTCGGCCTCCACAGCGGTGCACCAGTCCTGGTCGGGAGACGAGGTGAAGAGGCCAGACGGCGGGTCAGACAGCGGGGTCAGGATGGAGCCGAGCTCCAAGTGGAGCCGCCGGAACCCCTCCGACATCTCCGACGAGTCCGACAAGGGCGGCTCGGGCAGGAAGACCCCCTCGGTGTCCCACACAGGCTCCTGGAGGAGAGGCATGAGCACTCAGGTGGGGGTGACGTCCCCCCGGACGAAAAGCACCAGTAGCACCGGTTCTACGGGCTCGGTCGGCCTCAAGACCCACAGTTCAGGTAACAAAGACTTCCACCACTGACAACAGCAAGCAAATGAGAAATTCTAACTTAAATGAGTACATGTTAGTTACGTTTGACTAATTATTATTTACCATCTTGCAACTGCTGAAATATGTTGAACAACAATACAGTTGCATTAAGTCCTTGGCACAAATGTCCTCTTATTTTGTTAAAAAATAAGATTTGAAGTTAGATTTAAATGCCTATGTCAGATATGTACGTTTTTCTTCTGAGGTTTCTGGGTAAAATGAAGCACTTGTTCTTAATTTGTATATCGTAGCATCAGTTTCTTCAGCATTTGGAGCTGCAGTTGGTCAGTATAGGTTGAGATACCGTCTCAATGGTTCCACCAGCATGCTCAAATATTCAGTGTGCTTGCATTTAGTGAGACAACATAGTGGGTCTGCTACACAACTTCAATTCTGTACTTTTAAAAGAAAAATAGAAATTTAACAGGTCTATGTGGTAAAGTATGGTCTTTAGTGCAGTATGAAATAAGATGCTGCCACGTTTAGAAAATCTTGTGAAACCTTCTGAAATCTTCAGGATCAGCTCTGTTGCTGACCCAACAAAAAAAACAAGTTTCCACACAGACAGTTTGGAGTTCGAGTTTCTTCACCTTAACTCTGGGTTTTAGCAATCTGAGCGTGAAATCGTGCAACAGCAGCATTAACACTCCCTGCTGATGTCTGGCTCTGTGTCCCGCAGGTAAAACAGATGATGTCAAGGTGTCAGAGAAAGGACGCCTCTCTCCTCGTCCTAACGGCCTTCACCGCTCGCCGTCGGACGCCGGGCGCAGCAGCGGCGACGAGGCCAAGAAACAGTCGATCCCCAGCAGCCGCACGTCGACCACGAACACACTCACACACACTGTGTCAGACCCGCACTCCCACACGCTGACCTCACGCACCCCGACCAGCACCTTCGGCTTCAAGAAGCAGGGCATGGTTACCATGGTGACAGCCAGCGGCGCCACCATCACCAGCGGTTCAGCCACTCTGGGGAAGATGCCTAAATCTGGAGGGCGCTCGCTGTCAGGAGGGTTGAAGGCCGGCGGGCAGGACGGAGGCTCCATGCTGGGGCACCACGACGACGGCTTCCTCCCCATGAGCGCCCGATCCACGCTGCAGTACCGCAGCCTGCCCAGACCCAGCCGCTCCGGGGCGGCCGCCCGCAACGGGAACCGCTCCTCCACCAGCAGCATCGAGGCCGCCGTGCTCTCCGTCACCTCTCACGGGAAAAACTCCATCAGCTTAGCCAAGGCCAACGGCTCGGGAGTCCTGCTGGCCAATCAGACGGACCGAGAGAAGGGGGTCTCCGAGGTGGACAACCTCAGGAGCGGAGCGGCGATGCAGGGCGGAGGAGCTGCGACGGTTCCTCTGACTGGACGACAGCAGGTTTCTTCACCGACGCTTCGCAGGTCAGCGCACACACTGATCACATCTCCAGTATGCTTTGGTTGGAGCAGACACTTTCATAGTTTGTGCACTTTTGCATTGTCAACTTGTTTTGAGATTTAGAAGAAGAACGTAAAAACCAGACTTGGTGAAGTTCAAGATCAAGTCAAAAACAAACAAGACAGCATCAGGCATCAAGATGCAGCTTTAATATTGGTCTTTTTTGCTTTGTTTTGATATTATCAACATAAAAACACTATTATCACATCTTTGAGGGGGGAACATTCAAATATATTTCTTCTAAGAAACACACCAACATTTCAAAAATCCCCATTCAGAGACATGAAGGACTTACATCTTCTAATTTGCCCATGAAGACCTTAGACATTCTCTGACAAACCTGAGACCTGACTTCGGGTACTTTTCTTTAAATACATCTCTGGTCATTGATTGAACAACTAAAAACTCATCTCTGTGCATCAAACTGACACATGCATAAGTTTTTTCCATGAGTCAAAACCAGTTCTTCTTTCTAGAAATGTTCAACCATAGTGCTGCCTACTTATTTCACTCCCATATAAAAATAAAAACCTCCATATTTACATATTAAGGTAAAAACTTGTCTTTACAAACATATGAGCTTCTCTTTGAATCTGCTTATGGAGACTTCAGACGTCTTGAAAGACTCAAGACTTGACTTTGCGTACTTGTCTGAAACTCCCTTTCTGGTCATTGATTAAACACAAAAAACTCATATGATGATGTGTGCACTGACCTGTACTGACCTGCACTGCTGCAGACATGCTGACGGCTAACGGATGAGCCACACTGAGCGGGTCCCTCCTGTATGGACTTGACTTTACCCACATGCAGCTCACACACACACACACACACACACACACACACAGACACAGAAGACCATTTTAAAAAAGACGGTAATCATGCAGTCACTGTAAATAATAAGCAGCGGTGAGTAAGGATCACACGTGTGGGCTTGTTACGCACACACACACACACTCACACTCACATGCAGCCAATCTCGGTGAGGTTATATCAGGCCATTGTGAATGCAGGCCTTGAGCTGAGCTGATCAGCTGCCAAGCCTCAGCCTTGGCAGCGTGGTGGGGGGGGAGGGTGTGGTGCAGGGTAATGGGAGCTGAGCCTTACCTCAGCGCTCTGCCCTCATTAATGTGAGGGAGTGATAACTCTTCAAAGAGACTGAGCTGCTATTATCGCTCACTGCGGCTCCAGTCATCACAGCCTGCCATTTAACTCGAACCCAGGATTAGTATAGAACAAGGAGAGAGTTTACAGTGTGTGTGTGAGTGTCTATGTGTGTCTGTGTGTGTGTGTGTGTGTGTGTGTGAGTGTCTATGTGTGTGTGTGTGTGTGTGCTGGCTGGCCCTGATTCAGATGTGAGCGCCGACTCTACCTTTACCGACTGCCACTGTATTTCACGGAGATTTAAGAATGATACTGGTGCTTTTGTTCTGCTGACAAATGATCACAAACTCCAGTCAGGTTTCTCCTCCGCTCAACACTCTGAAGCAGAACAGCCGTCAGCGTTCAATCAGATGTTCTATTAATATTCCCAGTCTCCAGAGGATGCATTTTTTTCCTCCACTCTTTCCTTACATGCTCAAATAGATAGCTCAGGGCAACTTAAAAACATAGACGTAGGCTGTAATAAATGAGATAAAAGTCTTATTTGTTAATGTCTCATTGAAAATCTTCTCTTAACCCTCTGATCTCCAAACACTTTCGGGAGGTTTTTTTTTGCTCCTGTCACATTTTTACTCACTGTGGGTTCATATATTACTGCAACATAAAGTCCTGCACCTCTGTGGAAACAGGACAACTATGGCTAGATGTAGAAAGAACTCTAGAATTTCTTTTATGCAGTATAATAACAAAGGTATGATGCCATAAATTGAGTTTCTTGCATTATTTACTTTACAAACATGGAAAATGCCTGGAATCAACATGTACAAAAAACAAAAAGGTGCCCACAGGTGTTACCGATACTGGAAAAGAAAATCTGGTGACACATTTAATTTGTTTCCATACTTGTCTCCGCTCTACTCTGTGTAAACACAGCTTGCAGTTCAGCTGAAAAATCCCTGATTTGTTGTTACCTGACTGCTGATCACAGCTGAGTCACGAATGACTTCTGGGTTGCACAGAGGAACGTAGAATTTATTTTTTTTTTTTTTGCAGAATGTTGTGCAGACTTCTTGTTTTGGAGGGAATTTTTAAATGAGACATGTAGAATAAAGAGATTTTATTAAAATCTCACAATTTTGAGCTGAGATTTGGTGAAGTTTTCTAACATAATGGCACCAAATCCGTCCCTGGCCTCTCAGATTGTTGACAGTGCAACATTTTTTTCTTCTTTTTTAAAAGTTGAAATTGTCATGATTTTAAACCCACTGTCGGGTTTTGGAATTCAGAAAGTTAATGTCGTCCAGGTCTCCAGACCAACTTTTTCACTAGTCGGACTGGTGCAGCCAACATGCGTTACAGGAGTGAAATCAAGGACCACAAGTCTGTCAAACAGGTTCTTTCCTCAGGCCATCAGACTCCTGAACAACTCCAAACACTGACTCATTCACGGGTGTTTAATGTACACATTACACCAGTTATCATGTGTCACCAGGCACTGTGCACTTTAAACACATATCTGCTGCTCCATCACACATCTCACTGATGCTGCTACAAGTAAATAGACAAATATGCACCTTAGTTTCTGTCTCTTTTTATTTTATCTATTCATATTGTTATTGTTGTTTTTTTATATATATATATATTGATATTTTTATTATGTATACATGGGAGCGTGCAAACAAGACAATTTCATTGCATGCTGTGCACATGACAAATAAACATCTATCTAACCAGTATTGTCAGTTAGTGGCAGCCCTCACCTGGGCACAGGTGCTCATCCATAGACTCCATATTTACTGATGTCTCTTTATACGCCTCACATTGCAGGCAAAAATTAGTTTGAAAAGTGGAAATAAAGTGTTCTAAAGTCAGATTTGTCCAAGATGAAACGGCTGATTTTATCCACATGCGCACGTACGAGCACGACGGTTTTTATGAGAAGAGCGCATTTTAAAATGCAAAACCCACAGCCGATCGTTTTCACATGCCAGTCAGCAGCTAAAATTATGATTGTGATTAATAATTACTTAATTGTGTCGTCCTACTCCTGCGTTAGCCGTTGGAATTAGCCAACTCACCGGCTCAGTCAGCTCATTCAGGTGGTTTTTACGCAGCAGGCAGAACTAGTTTGAGGAAATAAAAGTTCTATTTGCTAGTTGCATGAGTTCGATCACTTGGAATTTTAACTGGCAGACTCTTATTATTAATGGATGATGATGTGATTTGCTACCACGTGACTTTGCCTTACTGGTCACAAATATAAGATTAGACCTCCTTTCTTCTTGCTCCTTTCAGATCCACTTTAACTCTCAGCTAACATCTTTTTTTTTTTCCTCCACCCTCTGATTTCAGGTTATTTGGTGGGAAGCCCAGTAAACAGGCTCCGATCACCACGGCTGAAAACATGAAGAACTCCACCGTCATCTCCAACCCGCACGCCACCATGAACCACGTGGCGACGGTGCCGGAGTCGCCCGACGCAGGGCTGGGAGGCGTGGACAGCGACACCAGCAGCCCGCTGTTCGGAGGCAGAGTGCTGGGGTCGGGCACGGGCACGCTGGGCAGCGAGCAGGTGGGCAGGACGGAAGGACTGGAGGGAGTGGATCAACTCCAGAAATGTGGATGATTATAGTAGTAAAATCATCACCAAGCTCCTGGGAGTTATGGGTCTGTTGGCACTTCAGATGATAAAACATCATGCTGGGATGTTAAACTGCCAGCATTCCCCAAAGTTTCTGTTTATTTTTTTTTTGGCTTCATCAATCTTCCCTTCTGTATTTCCTGAAGCTCATTTTTAGCCCTGTGTCATGGGAGCAGCCACTAATCCATTAGTTGCGTGGCTATTTTTAGTCTCCAACTGCCCACCATCCATTAGTTACCATGAAAACAAGGGAAGCATGTGGTTGTTGTTTTGCTTTTTAACTTATTTTGGACTTGTAATTGTGGTGTTTTTTTCCAATGGTGTATGTTGGTTACTTGCTCCGTCCACTTCTTGGGTCCAGTTTGAAAAATCCCAACAACCGTTGGAGGGGTTGCAGTGAAATTTTGAACAGATGGTGAAATTTGTCAGACATTCATGTTTCCCTCAGAAAGAATTGTAAAAACCTCAGTGATCACTTTTCATGCAGCACCATCACTGGGTCAGATTTTATTTTCCCTGATAACTAAAATCAACAAAACTAATGATGAGGTTTGCTTTGCGCTAATTTCCATGATACACACTCAACAATACCTGTTAAATACTGACACGTTTGAACTCGATAATAACACTGAAAAATGCATCCACAGCACTCATAATAACAAAAAACTCAACATTTTTAAACTTTATTTCCACATTTAATGCTAATTTGCACTGTGACCATTCTCTATTTGCAAAATCTTTCTTTTACTCTATTTTTCTTTTATTCTAAAGTAGTTTTTATGCACATGTGTATATATATTTTTAGAACAGTTGTGTTTTTCTTGCGTGCCTCACCTCAGCTTAATGTAGGTCATGTGTGTTTAGTGATATGTATGCATCAAAGTACTCGTTATCTATTTATCTATATTTGTATTTAACTCAAACCATCGCTGGCTTAAGTGCAGCTTCACATGGTTCTGGACTCTTGATGTGTTATTAGTGGCACCAATATGTCATAGTTACTCTAAACCATGATGGATTTCTTGTTTGATGTTTAGAGCTGCTGTCCGTTAGCCATTTGCTTTGCGGGCAACTGTCACCTGAGTGCAACCGTCAAACCAGCCGGTCAGGTTTAAGATTAAAATGAATATGTACATTTGGGCTTAGAGACAAATGAGGCGTGCATGTATTAAACTGTGTGGGAAGGTGTTTGCAGAGCCACTGATGAGGCTTTGGTGGGGACGCCAAGATAGTTTTGGTCTCACCTTGCTAATGCCACAAATGTGGGGAAATCCTTGAGTTGCTAATGAAGCTATTCAGTAGAATTACAGACTAACTTTAGGCTACGTATTGCTGCAGAGCAGAAACGAGTGAGCATGCTCGGTCATGAACTCTCCATCGTGTTCTCACATGATTCATAAGTCTTCATCAGACTAGTTATGAATCATAAAGTGACACACAGGGCTTTGTTTTTCAGAGCAACAGTCACGTCTTTACAAACGGTGGGCACGAGTCCAAAGGTTTCAACAGCCAGGTTCATATATGTGACATATACAGACATATAGGCCCTCAAATGTTGTTTTAATGATTGATTAATAGTATATATATAATGGGTTTGACATTTTTTCAAGCCACAAAACAGTGAAAAGGGTCGATTTTGGTTCACTTTCACCACACAAACAGGCAACTCAGTGAAAATGTAAATAGAACAGAGAAGCAGACACTTTTGTAAGCAGGTGGTTGAGACCAAAAACGGAGCTAAAAGATGTCAAATATTGGACTTGTATCCACCAGGAGGCCAGAAGCATGAGCCCAAATGAATGATAGTGTTGCTCCATAACTGCTGGATGTGTAAATAAGCAAGTGATTGTTACAAAAAACAGATTTTTAAGCACTAATGTGATGTTATCCCACCCTCAGGCCTCCAGCCCCGGCTCCGTCTACTCCTCCACCGGCCCGTCCAACAGCCTGACGTGGGGAACCACCTTCAGCAGCTCCTCCGTCCCGAGCAGGGAGGGCACGCTGGGCGGCCACGGCGGGACGGGCAGCGTGGGCTTCCCCTCCGTCAGCAGCATGCACACCAGCAGCGAGTCCATCGACATGAGCCTGGGCAGCGCCGGCCACGGGACCCACAGGGAGGACACGCTGTCCGCTCTGGGCCGGACCGGCAGCGTCAAGACCGGCATGTCTGAGAGGTAAGGACGCACAGAGGGGACGGTGTCTAGGAATAATCTAAATTCAAGTGCTCTTATGCTGTGCCTTCATAAATGTGATGTTTGAGGTAGTTTTCAGGTTATACAGCTTGTTAATGAATGTGTTTAGTGAATAAATGTGACTTGGCAAAGGATGTGAGAGGTAATTAACAGACTAGTGCTCGTCTTCATGTCGCTGTTTGATTATATTTACTCAAGTACTGAACTTGAAGTATTACTCTGTTTTTTTAGTTTAGTTTTTGTAGGTTTGAAAAATGTCACTTTAGCGAACAGTTAGCAGATTAGCAGAACCAATCAACACAGTGAACCGAGCAAAGGTGTATTTAATTGCTTAAAAGTAATTAAATAAGAGTGAGTGACTGTCGTTTTTCTTTCAGACGTTACATGATGTTCCTTTAATACTTAGAATTTATTGTGTTTCAGAGGTATACATTGTCTAGTTACTCTGCAGGTTAAGGTTTAATGTGAAAAACATGCGATCAGTTTATGAAATGTAATTCCTTTTTAGTTATAATAAATCTGTAAGTTAATATTAGGTTATATGTTATTGACCCTCTGAACTCCAAAACCCCGACAGTGGGTTTGAAAGGAACATTTGTCTTTGCTGTAAAACACAGTAAAAATTAATGAATTATCAGAATTTCTCCTGTCATTGAACCACCTGTCAGAAAACGTAGCTGAAGCTTAAAATCAGGATATTTCATTAAAATCAAATCTCAGAAATTCACTTCAAAATAATCCGATTCCCACGTTCAGTGGTGCAACCAGAAAGTTCCTGAGCGGTCACATGACAGAAACTCAGGAACTTTGCAGTAAACTAGACTGAACTGCAGGCTGTGTATATTACTAGTAGTGTAAATAGTAAAATATCTATGTGAGCATTTAGAATCACTATTTTCCAGTGTTTTTCTTTCCTTTTAAAAAATTTATAGCATTATAACTTTGTTCTGCCGCACATAAGATATTTCTGAGGTCTCTATACGTCTAGTCATGGCTGTGTTTCCATAGAGGTGCAGGACTTCATGTTACTGTTAAAAATGAGCCCACAGTCAGGAAAAATGTGACGGAAACCAAAAATACTCAGAAACTTCTTGGAGGGTTAAAATGCTGCTTATACGTTAATGCATCAGTAACAATAATGTAGTTTTCAGCACTTTCACAATCTGCTGCAGGACTTTTGATGGAGTTAATTTACTGTTAGATTCACTGCGTCCTGCCCAGTCCCAACTCAGAGTCCAGAGTCGAGATGATGCACAAAGCATCTGCGGTGACGAGGTGTCGCTTCTTGTTTGCCGTTCTGTCTGCACTCGAGCGGGGAAACAAAATCCCGTGGCGTCCGTGAGCTGATTACACAGTAATTGTGGTCATTGTAGCGGATTCCATGGTGACAGGTTGACTGTGTAATGTGACAGGAATGCCTCAGAGGAAACTCAATAGCATCTGGAGGGGAAGCTTTCGAGGCTGACATCACCTTCCTCGCAGAGTTTCCTTGTTAGCTTCACTGGTGAAGAATCTGACAGTTGACTCCTTCGTCCACTTTGTTCTCTAAAAACTCTCTTTCTCTGTGTCTGTTGTGCGTTTTTTTTTGTTTTTTTTTGTTTTGTTGTTGTTTTTTTTCCCCTTTCCTGTCCTCCATCAGTCCCCTGTCCTCCCCCTCCGCTAGCCCTATATTCAGCCGAAACACGCTGCCTCGGAAGCAGGACAGGTAAATGTACCTGTGTGCAGTGTTAGGCTTCTGGTGGAGCAGCTGTGGAGGTTCCTACTAAACCACCACCTGCTGTCACACAGAGAACCACAGAGAACCTCAGTGTGGTGCTAGTTTGTCGTATCTTGTGGGGTTTTGTATGAGGTGTGTTGCTCTGTGTGGTAGTTTGTGGTTATTTTTAGGACCTCGAGCTCCTGTATGAGTGGACATTTGTCCGTGTGTGTGTGTGTGTGTGTGTGTGTTGGCAGCTTCAGTGTTTTTGTTTGGTGGTCTGTTATTATTGTTCACATACTGCCACCTTGTGGTTGAGTGCAGAGTTACTAGTGTAGAATGTTCATATTTGATTTTACGCTGCAAAAATGTCAATCTGAAGGTTTGTTTTTTACTGTTTCTCAGATTATAATATCTTTTCCCACAAGCACAAATGAAAATTTCAAAAGTTTTCTGAACCCAAATGTCATTTTATTTTATTTTAGTGCAGGAATTTGTCTTGGATGGTCCTGAAGAAACTCTTAAAACAGGTTGAGACGCTGTTTTAAGAGCCTTTAGGGCTCAGTAAAAGACAACAATGACTTGCCAAGATGGATGTTTTTTGCAGTATCGAAGTAGCATTGATAAGACAAACATCTTTGCAGCTAAAGATATTGTTAGGTAGTTTTTTTTAGAGATGCAACCACATGTTTCCTTGCCTCCTTCCTTCCTTTGTTTTCCTCTTCTGAAGTGTTTCTCTCCCACAGCGGGCCACATTGTGGTAGAAACACTCTGCCTAAGAAGGGACTCAGGTACTGCATTCACTCCCCCGCTGGACACGTTGCGCTTTTGCTCACTGGTTCACCAAAATTGTCTCCTGTCTCCCTTTTGTCTCTGCGTTCATATTCACTCTCCGAGGCTTGTGCTCACGCTTTTTTAAAAGTGCTTTCAAGTGTTTTTTTGTTCGGCACTCTGGCACATGTGTTGTTGTGTTGTGCTCCTGTGAAGAGGCTATCACTGCTGCTGCAGGCCTGACATGGTGGTCGGATTTTCTTTGGCTTCTTTTCTGCTTTTTTTTATTTCGCCTCCCCCTCAGTTTTCTGTTGCTCACAGTTGAAAATCAGTCTGTGTTCACACTTTGTGTTGTATCTGATTCATCTGGTGTTAGATCTCGGCTGTTAATCTGTCTGCTTAAAAAAAAAAAAATCCTATCTTGGTGATTGTGAAAAATCCAAATCTGGCTCAGCTTCTGTCTGAATCCACGTTGCATCTTTTCTGTTTCGTGTCCTCGCTTCCACTTTAACCTTTTCTCTGGCTTTCTGCAGGTACGGTCCGTCGCCACAGCTGCGAAGCCACGAGGAGGCCCGCGATTGGCTGCGCTCCCACTCCACCAGCGGGCTGCAGGACTCGGCCAGTAACTCCCCGTTCTCTCCCGGATCCAGCCTCACCTCCCCCTCCGGCACTCGCTTCAACTTCGGACAGCTCGGTACGCCGCACACACAACCAAAACCCAGAACTACATGCTTATTTAGTGAGAGGAACATCATACTTAGGAGACAATGTCTAAATTCACTGCCTCAGCTGTGTTGTTTGTTTTTCCTCTCAGTCGTATACCTGTCATCCCTTGTTCTGTCAACTTTTACCCTGCTCTGATTCTCTAGATAAATCATTATATTTAATCAGTGCGTGGGCAGAAACTTGATTGATTAATCATTTAGTTAATTTATCCTCCAAAATGTCACATATTCTCTGATTTAAGCCACTCAAATGTGAAGAGCTGCTACTTTTCTCTCTTTTATATCATCACAACTTTAATATCTTTGTCTTTTGTCTGACAAAACAAGACATCTCAGTGTGTTACCTTCAATTCCAAACGTTTTCATGGCCTTTTTTCACAGTTTCTGATAAAAAATCCCCAAAAATACGTCAAGAATTTTTTGTGAAAAGCCTGATGTGATTCCTGTCATTGTATACATCATATAATTTTCACAGCATCCAGCCCGACCTCAGCAGCTCAGATCAACCTCGCCAGCATGCGCACCAACAGCCTGACCAATCAGGACGTCCCTTTCGACCCGTGCGGCGACAACCGACTGAGAAACTCCTGCATGTCGCTCGACGAGAAGACACGCACCATGAGCCGGTCAGGATCCTTCAGGGACGGCTTCGAAGAAGGTAAGAGGACACTAGAGGGCGAAATGATTCAAAGAAAATGTCTAACTTTGATTATTCTGACAAACATTGATTTGCAATATCAATCTTTTAAAGTCAGGCTTCAGTTCCATCATATAGTCACACAAAGAGAGGATGGCATGAATTTGTAAAACCATTGACAGGACAGTTTGAACCCTGCTGCTACATGCTGCAGGACATACATCCTAAATTGCAGCTTTTTCGAAATTGCAATTTCAATTTGACATCAATTAGTTGCTCCTCTTTAGGAGACAGGAGAAACTTGGATGGATGGGTGGATGCAAGAGACTGAATATTCAGTGACTCTGTGTGAGTCAGACATTCGGTGAAATCTGTCATTAGGTTTAATCCATCTCAAGACCTGCACACCCACGTCCCTCTACAACTGACACCTCCCCTTCCTTGTTTCACATCCTCATGCCAAAAGAGTTATTATTCCATTTGTTTAGAGAACATTATGGCGGATTACAAGCGCTCCTCTAAGAAAAAGCCCTTTATCCCTTTAGAAATCCGTAATCAGCTTTTCTCCGGCTTTGTTTTTTTCATAAGCTTGTTTATTGGGAACAGAACCCAGCAGTGCTTTTCCCACCAGCAGGCAGACGCCCCGCTCAGGAGAGCTTTCTCTCCGCCGGATTCTCCTCGATCCCCAGAGCCACAGAAACGTTTGATTTAGAGGAATAAACTAAGGCGGGAAGGAGCGGGAGGCAAAGTATTGTGTTGAGATTGTTTCTCTTAATTGGGAAAACTCCCGCCGTCAGTGATGCTAAAACCAGCAGCTTGTGGGGAATTCGGCTAAACCACAGTGTGAGGCAGCCGCAAGAGATGCATGCAAGTAAAACCCACAACTTCTTTTATATTTGCAAAAACCATTTCTGGCTCTAATTATCTGGTTAATCAGTTGGTGAATCCAAAAGGCATCCTGGGAGATGTAGGCTAAAGTAAAGCTTAGAACCACAGACTGATGTTACACCTGTAAAGGGATCCTAAGACAGATTTCTTTCCAGCAGATGGAATGGGCAACATGAGAGTCAAACAAAGAGTTGGGTATCAAATCCAGTGAACCTGACGCTGGTTTTTTAAATGCACCTCGGGGAAACCAGCTGTGTGCTTTAGGAAACCTGGTAAATCCAAATTCCTACTTGAAAGCTTTCTGACCAGATGTTTACATGATTACACACGCACCACCTTTTTGGCACGTCTTCACTCCTTCAGCGTCGCTTCAACGCCTGTTTTTATCTGAGTGAATAGTGCACAGGACAGGTGTTTCAAATTACAGATTAGACAGGTCAGTCAGCACCAGCGTTCAGAGTCCATAAAGACGTTGTTCATAACTGAGAGAACCCTTCAACCCCCTGAACAGGCAGTTTCTCTGTGTTTTTTTCTCACTGTGGGCTCATTTCTACAGCAAGACAAAGTCCTGCACCTCTACGGAAACTGCAAAAGAATGGCTAGAATGTTACAAAAGTTATAAAAGTTATAAAGCACGACGAAACTAAAATTGAGTTTCTTTGATCCATTATTTTGCAAAAGTGTGCACTTACATTCTTATTTCATTCCCATACTTGTCTTCTATCTGCACTGTCTTAAAGCAGCCTGCAGTTTAAGCCAGTTCCGCTGAAAAGTCCCTGAAAGTTTGTCATGTAATTGTTGGTTACAGCTGAGCTACTCGTGATTTCATAGGTGCACGCCGGAGCACCGATTTTTTTATTTTTTATAGAATCTGGTTCCTGCAAATGGTTTATTTGCTCTTATTTGGTTCATTTTTCTGATGGAACTGTGTGTCACACATGATTAGTTCAAGTACCATCAGAAGGACAACGTTTTTACAGTTTCTGGTTGTGATAAACTGTAATTTTGGCGATTTTTAGAAACTTGAAGATTTAACATCATGCAAATACAAACTACAGAAACACAGAGTGATGCTAGAAATTCATTAGATGTTTGCCTTTAAATTAAATAGTGTTTAAATGAGCACATGATGCCTCACCTCTTTAACGGCAACAGCTCTAACATGAGTTTACAACTTTAAAATCAGGCTGGAAAAGTTACATTTCTAAGCAAATGTAACGTTAAAGTTATCTGGAAACTAATCTAAGTTGGATATTCTGGGAGGAAATGAATCATATTTAACAGCTGCCCTTTATCTAGTGTTAAATCTCAGGCAGACATCAATACCTTTGTGTGTTTATCTAATCGAGAACATAACGGTTCGTTTTAAAGACCGCAGTCATCTGTCGTACAGACCACTTTAAAAGATGTTCTTCTCAGGTAAATGCCTGCTGAGCTTTGCCTGGTATTGTGAAGCTTTTATCCAACGTTTTCCAGTAGCAGCCACATAATGTGCACATGCACAATACCACAGGTGCAAACTTATTATTACTATTACACCCCCGCCCCCAGTAGCGCATCTGTCTCGCTTGTTCCCAGCTCCCAGAGTCTGTCTTCCCTTTCAGAGGAGGGGATAATTACAGGGATCACAGCGAGAGGTGTGAGAGATACGCGGTGACATTCAAGAAACCTCTACACAACTTTCCCCGACTCTCCTGCTCTCTCTTTTTGTGTGTGTGTGTGTGTGTGTGTGTGTGTGTGTGTTGGTTTCCAGTTTGCAGCTCTGCGGGAACATGTAGTTTGTGTGTTCATGTGCATGTAGCTGAAGTGTCGAGTTACCGGAGCTGTTGTTTGACTGACGGGACAAAAGTCACATCATCCACCCAACACTTTGTCAGACCTGTCCTCGTTGAGAGCAACACCACTATACGCTGTCACCTCATCCCCTTCGCCCCGAACCCTCCCCTCGCTGCCTTTATGTCTGCTCACCCTCCTCCTGTGACTTATACACATTCGCTAAAAGACATTAACTGAGAATTTATACTCCTAAAACGTAAAAGTAGATGAAGTCTTGAAAGAGATTAACCCTTTGAATCCCATACCCCGCCTGCAGGTTTAAAAAACATGTTGTCTTTAAAAGATTTCCAAAATTAAAGCATTAATCAGAAACTGGAAAAACTGGAAGAATTTTTTTTTTTTTTAATCTTGGCATCGGTCCTTGAACTAATCAAATGTTACTTGCAGAAAGCTTAAAAATCATCATATTTCCACAAAATCACTTTTTTCCAAACATGTCTCTATTAAAAACAAACTGTGTGCAATAAAAAATGTTTTTCTAAAAATGATTAATTTGCATCATTTGGTGCAGACGTGAAGCCACGAGTGACTCTGCTGCTACATTCAGGGACTTTTTGGCTGAACTGCAGGCAGTGTCACAGCTTTTTTTTTTTTTTTCAAGTATTGGTAGCAACTGTTAGGAACATTTTTTATTATTATTATTATTGTTTATTTATTGTTTTTTTTGTTTTTTTTTTAATTAAACTTTTTTTTTAAATTATTTTTTCATGATTTTTTTGTGTCTCTAACAACACAAAAGACATTTTTGTAGAACATGGCAATGTAGAGCAGGCAGGAGGCAAGTAGGGAAACAAAAATGTAATCAGTAAAATATCATATATGTTATTTTTCCTGCATTTATAACATCTCTGGGCACCGAAAAAATGTACATGTTGATTCCAATTTTTTTCTTCTTTTTTTTTTTTTTTAATGAATAGCAAGAATAAGAATAAGATAAGAAAATCAACGTTTGTGTTTTTTGTGGTCATGGTTGTTCTGTTTCCATCGAGGTGCAGGACTTTATGTTCTAGTGAAAAATGAGCCCGCAGGGAGTCAAAAATGTGACGGGAACAAAAGAAATGAGTGTTAATAGTTTATCAAAATCTCTCATCATTGAGAACATGTTAAAAGATCTTATCACACACGACCTGCGCAGACTCATTGCCGTGGTCTGAGTGAGTCTATTTGCTCTCCTCTTCATGTGGCTGCCTGCACACCTTTCTGTCTAGACCAAGCCAAGATAAATGTGAGTCCTCCGCAAACTGACGTCTGCTGCTTTCCAAGGGAATAAATGAACAAATGAATGCGCCGGGATCAGGCCGGCCTCTGGCTGTGGTCGATGACATCACGCTGCTGATCCCTCCTGATCTGCTCCCGGCCGGGAAACAGTGCCGGCGTTGTTTCGCCGCCTCTGATGTGTGATTAGCCGCTGAGTCATTAGCAGAGCGATTCTTAAGGCTGTCATTAGTTGCGCCACAGTTCGACTGCAACTCGCAGGAGTTTTTTTATCTTTATGACCGCCGAGCTGCTCTGGAGGAGGTGGGCTGTCGAGTCTGGGCAGGCTGGGGGGGAACTGGGAGGAACTGAGCTGGGTGGGCAGGGTTGGAAGTGAGTGGGTGGTTTAGGTAGAGGAGACTGTGGGAGGTCTGTTGATAATCAGGTTAATGTGTGTACAGATGTACTTTCTAATCCCCCACTTTTACTTGTGGTTTGTGTCTCTTCAGTTCACGGATCGTCTCTGTCTCTGGTCTCCAGCACTTCTTCCATTTACTCCACGGTGAGTTCAACATCCGCTGTTTGGGCAGTTTCTGTCACCGTTACATAGTTTTATCCACTACACAGTAAAACATCAGAAATAAGTCACCCAGCTGTTCTATTTATAGTTAATTGAAATGTCAAAGCTTAATTTCCAGAACTTGAACATAAGTTGTTTTAACTTTAGGCATTTAAATTGAATGAATGATTTGCTGAAAGTTCGATCAACTCATGAAATTAAGTTTTAGTTTTTCCAGACTTCCCAGGATGCATTGCTGGAGAGGTAAAACTCCACAGAAACTCTTGATTTTTTTGTAGTTTAAGAAAACAGCCATGATGAAAACTTGCTGTGTGTTTTTGTTCAATTAAATTATGGTCGATTCTTTCAAAACAGTTCGAACCACGACAAAGATTAGTGCTGAATTTAATCCCTACACCCACAGACTTATGATTAGTCTGACTGTAACTGGGAGCAGATTGTCTTTAATTTGACTCTGGTCAACAGCTGAAGCTATTTGAACTTAAAAGCTACTCTGTCTGTAAACCTTTTTCATGCAACTTGCTGATTCAACTTAATATCTTGAGTTTATTGAGCTGTTTTTCTCAAATTTAGTTAATTCAACTCGGGTAGCTTTACACTTTGACAGCAGATGAGGTGACTTTGAACTAATTAATTGTCTCAAGAGTGGTTAAATCACATTTTTAAGGCAGCAGACTATCTAAAAGTTTTATTTTTTCATCTCCTGCTTAAATGTTGAAGCTTCAGTCAGGGTTGTGACACTTAGATGGCCTCAACATTACACATATATGTAGTTCTCTTACAGTGTAAACACTTAGTATGTGTTTCAGTAGTCGAACACAATCTGCGTTCATTTTACACTTTTTGTAAGGTCTCATCTTTGAATAATTACTGCTGAGAAATCACCTCCAGAAAGGTGACGTGAAGTGAAAAGCTGCTTCTCTTCTGGCATCCCAACGCCAAAATTTCCGTTGTTCTTCGTTGATTAGGCGGCTGCACACGGAAACAAGAGAAACCAGCTTCTGCTTTTGCCTGTTTAATTATGAATTATAAAGCATTCAAGCTGTTAGATATTTGCCCTCTAATCCATTAGTCACTCAAACATCCGTTATAAGGAAAAGGTCTGGTGGTAGTTGGACAGCCCAGCCGTGTCCACAGTAGCCAATCAGAGCTTAGTGCTTCACAGTGTAGCTCCTCCCCCTGGTGGGCTGGTGCACTCACCTGTGCAGGTGGTAGCAGAGGAACTCTCAGACGCTGGCTGGTCCTTGGAGCCACAGGGTTTGAACAGAGAGGGAAGAGACAAAATGATGGCGACTTTATCCCTGACGGGTACCGTCACATCCTGGCAGCAGACGGTAGGACTGTAGGAGTGGAGCAGTTAATTATTCAGATGTTTGTGGTCTGTTGGAGTTAAATACAGTCAATTAATGAGTCATATTATTATATGAAGAATATGTTCTCAGATGTTTTTGCTGTCTGTCTGTGGATTATGAGCTAAAGGTGATTACATGTCTGACTGACTCTGGAGTCTCCTCACATGTGGATTCATGAACCATCAGGAGCTGAACAATGCATCTAATGTTTGGGAATTCCACATCAATGCAACAAAAACTAATGCAGCTGCAGCGAATGGAGCTTTTTTTTTTGAAGAATGGTTTTCCTCGCTTGTTAATTTTCATTTTTTGCACTTGTGCTAAACTTCATTGTTTGCTTATGAAGCGCTGGTCCAGGATTTTGCAACAGAGTTAGACCTCTGAGTTGTGTTTCCAATACACACTGCTGTGTTTGTGTATCTAGGATCAGCTGGCCGTGTGTGTGTGTGATTGGCATCTCTGTTTGGGTGTGTAGCCCATGTGTGGACGGATGCCACTTTGTAAACAGATGTGCTCACACTCTGCTACACTCTGCGCAGACACACTAAGCTGTTGAAACCTGTCTCGGTGCTGAAACGTGGAACCACAAGAAAAATCATTAATTGTCTATCTGTTGTTTCTGTCACAACCTCATCGCTGTGGTCAGACTCTCCACTGAAAGATTGTGGGTTAAATATTTCTTTAAAAAACACCCAGAGTGTTGATGTTTCCTTTCAAAGCTGCACAGTTCTCCAAAGTATTTTAATATTTGCAAATTTTATGGAAAACTCAGGCAGTTATTGGGCTGTTCTTGATGCTATCATGATGAGGAAATGTGAAAATCCTCCATAGTAGAGTCTTTAAACCAATTTTAAATATTATTATAACAGCATAGTTGACACATTATCACTAACTAATCATGCATGATGTGCTGTAGTCACATCTAGGCTTAAAATCTGGATATTTAATCACCTTATTCTACATGATGTGTTTAAAAATTCTAAATAATCTATTTGGTGCAGCCACCATTGACTCGATATTTAATATTATTCTAATACCACAGCTGACTGGTCACTTCACTAAAAACAAACTGTAAAAAACAACTTTCCAGATGCAGTTTCAGTGCCCGGTTGCAGCCTGTTGACATGTAAATGTGGGTGTCTGAGTGTTTTGGTGAGCAGCAGCAGCAGCAGCAGCAGCAGCAGCAGCAGGGCGTGTTGCGTTCGTGCGAGTGTTTGTTTTGCGTGCCCTCAGCCGCTGCGTATTTGCCTACCTGTCTGTTCTTACTATTGTTCCGTGTGCAGCCCACGAGGACAATGAGACTCACGCACACATACGCAGGCATCTCAGTGAAATGCCTTCAGGAGGACGTCTCTGCTTTCCAGACATATTACACCAGACAATATCCTGCACAGTTTATAAAGCTCGTCTCCGTGGAGCTAATAAATCAAACAGCCAGACCTCCGGCAGAACGAGCTGCTCTTCTTTTTCATTAAAGGATTCCGTTCAGCACGCCCTCTAATGACTTTCTCTTCTTCTGCTGTTTGTTTTACAGAACGAGGAGAAGTCCCAGTCGGAGGTGAGCATCCACCCGCCCACAGCACTTCCATCCTCTTTAATTTTCTGCACGCAGCACTGGCTGGACTTGTTGGAACACGGGGGGGCGTTTTCACGGCTGGATCTGGTTTCACATTGTAACTGTATTGTGGCCGACCCTGTAACCGGCTCTTGTTCCTCTCTGAACACCTGTATGCGCCCTTTTATGCATTCGCTGTGTTCCGTCTCTCAACCTGGACGCATCAGAGCTCCGATCTCGGATCCTCCCTCGTTTGTTGCGACAGTGTTTTTCTTGGTTGCGCGTCTGGATGCACGCGTGTGCGTTTGGCGTTGCATGCTTTTGTGGAAGCAGGTATGCGCGCTTTTGTCTCGGCGCTGTTTTTGATGTCGAGTTTCTTTACGTCCGCAGATCCGCAAGCTGCGTCGGGAGCTGGATGCCTCCCAGGAAAAGGTTTCCGCCCTCACGACACAGCTGAGTGCCAATGTAAGTCAACAAGCACTGCACAAACACACACGGTCCTGGAAACACTTACTGGAACATGTCTACTCTCCCCTTACATATTAATTTATTTCATGCAAAAAAATATAACCACTCATATACTATTAATCAATTAAGTTAATGCAGATTTCTCCATTTTCATCACGCCATCACTGGAGTGTAAGATGGTTGCGAAATTGCTGCATTTTCAAAATCTTCTTGAACGCTGATGGACACTAACTAGTTTTAGTTCTGGGTGTTTTTTGCTCCTTTAACTACTCACTGCAGGCTCATTATTCACACCAACATAAAGTCCTGCACCTTTATGGAAGCAGAACAACCACAGCTAGAAGGAGGGAGAACTCAAAAATGGCTTTGTTCAGTATGTCACCGATAGAATGACATAAATCATTAAAGAAAGATGAAATGAAAGATGGACTTCTTTTATTTTTTCAAAACCCTGGAATCAACATGTACATTATTTTTCTAAATGCCCATCGGTGGTACAGATACTGGAAAATGGTGACGCGACATGCAATGGATATTTTGCTGTTTTTATATTTTTAATTTGTTTCCATACATCTGCTACACAGGCTGCAGTTCAGCCAGAAAGTCCCTGATTTTTTGTCACATGGCTGTTAGTTGCAGCTGAGTTACTAATATTTTAATGTTTGCACCAAGGAGCACATTTTTTTTGTTTTTACAGAATCTGGTAAATGCAAAATAGTTTGTTTTTGACATTTTTATGAAGAATAAAGTGATTTTAATAGATTTGGTTTAACAAACAAATAGCACATCAGACATGATTAGTTCAAGGACCATCAGAAAGTTAAAAATCTGATGATTCTTTCTGGTTTTACAGTTTCTGATAAATGGTTTTGTTTTTGCAAATAATAATAATATGTCCTTCAAACCCACCGGCAGGTTTTAGGGTTCGGAGGGTAGAACTGCCAAACTGAAAGGCAGAAAGAAAACAAACCTGAACGTTCTAATTATGATCAAATTATTTGCTGCTGGAAACTGAAAAAGTGTAATTATCTTAATAGCTCAAAATCATTTCAAAATTGCATGTAATCAATATGTCATGACCTGAAGCAGACTGAAGCTCAACAAAAGACAGGCTCAGGTTAAAGATTTAAAAGAAGTTGGCTCATCTGTGTTTGTCACGCTCCCAGACATTTCCATAACACAAGCAAGAACATTTACTGTTACTGAACGAACAGCTCCCACAGTGCACTTTGCTCCCACAAGGTATAATTTTACAACCTTCAGAAACCGTCTGAAAATCTCTTTAAGCATCTCTAGACACGATCCTTTCTGCCACCCATCCTTCTGCGTTGCACAAGTCTCGCCACGCTCCGCTTGTAATCTGCAGCCTGAGTCAGTGCGCGGCGGCGGTTCAGCTGCGGATTAGAGATATGGAAGGAAGGCAGAGGTGTTGGATTACAGCAGGGAGTCAAGTCTCAGCACACTGCTGAAGGACGGTCCCAGATGTGGACCCAAGATTTACAGCTAATGACGCCTGGATACAGCGAGGCGTGGCACGAGTGTTGAAAGACGGACACGGGGAGAAAAAGGCAGAAGTTAGTAGTTGGAGGGGATCGAAGGAGGGGGTTCTGTTCAAATATTTGATTACACGCCACTGAAAAATGATGAATTATCAGAACACACCTTGAAGCCCCCGAGGCCGAGAATTTAAGAACATCTTCTGTTGCAAAGAGTCACGACTTGAATCGCCGTCAGTCAGCACCTTCCTCAACTCTCACACAGATCATTTATATTGAAAGCCGAATACTGAGTAGTGACGGACGGCCGTGTCTAAAACAACAGCAGTGTCATGCTCAGAAGCGTTCAGATCTTTTGTTGCTCATGTATTGATGTTCAATTTTAATCCGCTATTTCACATTAATATTTAGTTTTGACATGTGACGCTTATCTTCTTTGTCTTCGTGCTCCTTTAAAATCTGCCTGTTGTGTTTGCACCCGATGCCACGTTGGCATCAGTTTGTCAGAAGGTCTACCGCTGATTCTTACAGCATCGGTACACAGTTAGAGCCACGGATCTGTTAGATCAAGTTGGAATACAAAAACTCAGCAGACTGTAGTTCACTCTCTCCATCCCAAAAGTCATCAGTGAGTTTAAAAGGCATGTTATCGTTTAAAAAAACAAGAAAAATGACCATGTATCTGAGCCAAAAACTGTAAACACAGAAAGAAAGATGTTTAGTTTTCAGATAATGCTTCAGCTGTTTGTCTGTGATGTGCTGCTTCATCACAAAAAGGATCCAAATCGAAGCCTAAAGATGTGATATTTCATTCAAATCACTTGATTCTACATGTCTCATTAAAAATTTGCTAAAAAATAAACTAAAATAAACACTTCACATGAACCAGATTTGGTGGCAAACAAGAAAATTCTGGACTTGTCAGCACAACCAAAAAGCCATTGGTGACCCTGCTGGGACTTTTCGGCTGAACTGCAGGCTGTATTAATATGGAAACACAAATTTAAGTAGTTTAATATCTATAGTATGTAGTGCCACCATGATTTTTCCACCATTGATGACATTTCTAGTCACAAAGTTGGTCATGTTGGTTCTATTTTTTTTATTATTTTTTTTTAATGAATAGCAAGGAGAATAATAAGATTAAAGCCGCAAGCGGCGATGGACAGGTCCTCGCCCTACGCTTGTCGGCCGTTGCGCACGGCGGGGTGTGGCGCAAACCTGCTCTGGCCAGGACTGTCATCCGGCATGTCGAGTTTGGCGCAGATCGGAGCAAGTGTGGCCTTGTGCCTTATGTATTTGGGCCTCAATAAAAATATAGCATGTCGTTTTTGTCAAAAAATCTCACGTTTCAGAACGTCCTGAAAACGCATCAGGATGTAGTATATAGTGGGAAAAGTGTCCTGAATGTGTTTAAAGACAGCTTAGGAAGGTACTTCCTGA